GGCAATGGACTGCGAGACCACTGGTGTCAGGTTCAACAGTACACCTTGGTTGTGAACTCAATCGACGTTCATGCCAGAGTCAAGCAACCGGAAACTTCGAGCAATCGACTGGCCAGCAAATCACAGATGGACGAGCGTTGACGTTTGGTCAACGTCAGGATAATATTCGCATGATCACCGAAGCAACCAGGGCGACGGCAATAGTCACAATGCAGTTGCTAGCCTTTTCGACCACACCTCGGCTGCTGAACAAATTTAAGTCGAGATACGGTGCTAAAATCAAAGTCAGGTGTAAGAAAGCACTACGGAAACTCACAAGAATAGGCTTACCTTCGTGGATTTCATACAACAACACAGGCTCTTGGACGGCTGTCTGAAAATCCATGTTCCTTGGTAAAGGAGTGGGACCCCAGCTTGCCGGCGGTATGGCGTTCGAGTACTCATAGACTGACAACTGCGACAGTCGACCTGCAGGTCGGTTTCCTCTACCGCCATGAGGACCGTTCAACAGAACCGGTTCGACGATCGTCCCTTCGTCGTCTTGGTTGCCACCAGTAAACGGCGCGTGATCCTTCGCCAGACGATGAATCACCTGTTTGGACGTCTGTTGGTTCTTCGGCTTGTGGTTCACCTCCCGACCACTGTCGTGGCGAAATTTAGGTGAAATCGGATGGCGTTCCAGTTCGTTGGTCGTTTCGTCGAACTCGGACATCATGATTACCCTCAGCCTCATGTTCCTTTCGCTGCATAGACCACCGCGGCGATTGTGAACGCCTTCGACGGTGCCATCAGAAGTCGCTAAACCGTTGTGCTTTTAAGAAACCGCGATCAGAAACATGCAAAAGCGTCGTACTAATGAAATAGTAGCTTCGTCCAGGTTGAAACTCGAGGCCGTTAGGCAAAGGCGTAAACTCGCGAAAGACAATGCGAATGGTCGTGTCGCTGTAAGGGCTAAAGCATTGACCAACCGGTCGTTCGTTGTCCAAAATGCAATTCTTGTAACCGAATTCAGACACCTGGAATCAGATCATCTACCATTCGTATACATAGTCAACGTCATCGCTTACCATGTAAATAATGTTGTACTCGGCCTGGTCCTGAGTCACCGTGTCGTTGTACAAAGGACAATAAATCTCGACGGAGTCCATCACGTGTGCCTTCAGAGACATTTCCCTGGTTCTGGACCAAAACCTGAAATCGAATATTTGGATACAGTTATAGCTATAAAAAACAGTTCAGAATTATGAGTTCTACGGAAACATACTCCTCACCTGTACAGTTGTCAGAATGAAGGCAAAATCCTTCAAATCTCAATTTTGTCCGCTAGTCCGTCCATCTACACCCAGAATAAACACAGCATCAAAAAGTCTGGAAATGTGCCTACCAGAGGTGAATTTCCCTTTACCTTAACTATAGCCTAATCAGGTGTTTTCTACGGGGTAAATTTTAAACACCATCCATCGATAACAAATTCCAGGAAGTTTTGCAGCGCAGCTGGCAAGTGAAAGCATGGCGAACGCCAATGAATATAGACAGACTTGTACCGCCAATCACCACTGGGCTCCGTATTTTCGCAGTGGCATGGATGCAATAATACGATTTTATGCAAACATGGACTAATCATATCTTTTTTCGTATTTTGCATATCTGAATGACGACAAGGGGTCGATTCTGCATAGCCTCAGTTCTCAACGACGTCTGGGGAGATGAGGATAAGTAATTTTATCGGTTTTTTCCCTTAACGAAAAACAACTGCCTGTCTAAATGGAATAAAACTCTTCTTCGCCCTAAAGAATATCTTCTTGTTATTCTTTCACTTTTTTTGCTGCAACCTCTTTGCTTCGATTTTTCGTCTCTTTTCTTTCCTATTCCTCCACCTCTTTTGCTCCTTTTTATCGTTCTTCTTCTTCTTCTTCTTCTGGTTCTTATAGTTCTTGGTTTTGTTCTTCGTTTTTTATTTTGTTGCATCTCTTCTTTATCCTATCCTCGTTGTTTATACTTGAGTTCCTGAAGAATACCCATCCACTGCTCAAATTCACAATCCACACAATCAATTAAACTATTGATTCTGACGCTACCATGATTTCATTTGAAAATCATATTTTGAGGTATCACTGAACTTTACATTTATTCTCGGAAGTAATAATTGATTTTATCATCTAAAACCATCATCGCGTTGCTGCTAGCAGAGACCTTGCAATGGGGTCTTACTGTGAATTTAAAAAGCTGTTTTATGACATCAAATGTTAACACCGGCTTGAATAAACAAATTAATCATATCGTGAAGAACAGCAACTACCGTATTCTGGATAACAAATCCCAGGCGAACTACCACGGAATGAAAAAGATGACTTTGAAGTGACCATGAAGGCCAGACCAAAACTCCGGAAGATGTCGGCTGATGGGTACCCTATCTTGTGTAACGAAAGTCTGTTCAGAATAATGACAATCATGCGCCAACTATAGATTCAAACGGGAAGACTGGATTCTACCATTAAGATTTACGTATGTCAAAAATCTGTTAGAAAGAATAAATTTTTTCAACGACCTGAGATGAATATAACTATACATATTTCGCGCATGCAACATTTCCCAAACAATAAGAGGAATAATTTCTGAATACGATTAAGCATATGAGTGTCATTCGGTCATACTGTGACCGAATTAGTAAGGCGAGATGTGGCGTTTCAGCCTCTATGATCCTGAAAATGAATACCGAAACATCTTTACAAAGCATCGCTTGCTGTTCAGAAATCTCACGATTCATCATGATTAAAATTCACGTCACTTGGAACTACTCAGAGAGGAAACCGTGAGAGGAACAGGGATAAATTTTAACGCAGAGAATGTTTACCACCAACATCTAACTTGCCTTGTAGTCTTTAAGATGGCTGTAAAGCCTAACCGCTACACACCAGTTGAACGGACTTTGAACGTTCTTACAGTCAAATTGCCTTGAACGGTGAGATAATGGCCAGATGCTCATGGCTCAAGGTTGTGAGATAAAAACGAGGTAATAATTTTGGACAAAACAGGATGTGTTGACCTAGAATCGCGCTTTTCCGTCCATTGATCCACCGATGAAAAAAAACTCGCTTTACTTATTCCACCTGCTTCCCAATCCTCACAACCATATCAGACTTATCGCCGTAGCGATCGTAAATGATATGGGCAGGACCTACGAATGAAAAATATGGATAACTGTCCGTCGTAACCCTTCGTCACATCTGCCTTTATGCGGCATATCTGAAAAGATAACGACTGGGCTGAAAAAGATCCTTTTTTCTGAGACACAGACAAGTCAGTCCTCCATTGCAGAAGCGAAAATCAGGGTTCAAATTAAATTCCAGTACATGAAGAACCACCTAGGACTTTTTTCATGCCGGATGAACACTGAAGGTTTGGAGATAAGGGATCTAAGGCGGATGGTGGATCTGAACTCCAAGGCGATCATATTCCAAAACTGAAAAGCGTCTATAATAAGTAATTATATCATCAGTGTCAGACCGAAAATTCGCCTGCAATTCTGCAATTCGCAGCAAGGAGTTCGTACGATTGTATTGAAGAAATCAAGGAGGACGATCGAGCTAAATTGCTGAGCTGTTGTTCATACCGTTTGCGAGACTCATGCAATATGACACGTCAAACAACGTGTAGCTGTCGCCATTGTGCAATGTTGCTTTCAACGGGCTTCCGAAAGAAACCACGAAACACGACGAAACCCCCCTGACGACATGTTGGGTATCGAATAGCAAAACTTCGCATTAGGATGAAAATCCGCCATGGCGTTGGGAACCTCGGCGCGCCTCCAGCTGCAACGAACAATAATAGCGATTGTCACTGAAGCACCGGTAATTGCAACGTCACACAAAGCGGGGACAGAGTAACTTCACGTCACCACAGTCACGAAGATGGGTGTCGACGACGGTTAGCTAATTGGGCTAATTAGGCAATGATTAAGCGCTGAAAATGCGCAAGTCCCTCGCGTTGACCGCTGGTCACTCTGAGGTGGACGACGCGTAAAAGAATTCATCATAAGTGGTCGACATGCAAAACTGTTGAGCAACTTCGTGAAGTGGCTTCGTCGCAACGGTACTCGCCTCAAATCCTCGTACCACTCTTTAGAGGCTCCCGGTACACTTGTTGCTCATACGTGGCAGAGAGAAGCAGTATTTTTCGCTGAAACTTCATCTCAATTTGACAGACACCACGTGCTGCATGAATTCAACCCGGTGTAGACACAAGCCTGGAAAACAAACTTCTGACCTACAAAAGTAGGACCCTGTAATATAGAGGGTAACGTGGTTGTATCGTATTCTGATCATTAACCTAGCGGGTTATACGGGGTCTCAAATACGCCATGATTTGCTGTACCGTCAGTAAAACTA